GTATGTCACAGTTTACATTACAGTATGTCTGTAATGTACACTGTGACATACCGTATTGTGTATGTCACAGAGTACATTACCATATGTCACACACACACTCGAGTGATAGTCCATGTAGCCTATATTTCATAGAGATTCAAATTTTTGAAGGTGTGACAAAATCTGTTTGAAAACCTCGTTTTTCATTTACTATCGGTAATTATATATTGTATGTACACTCAAAATCGAAATGTGTTATTAACGTTAAATCGATGACGCCATAATTAATTTTAATTCACACTTGTAACAATTATGGAATTACTCCCGAACCCTGGTGGAAAACCGAGGAATTAGTTCTATTAAGAATATTGTACATCAGTAAAAAGTCTAATTTTACGATGTTTTGTGACCATGGTATTTCATTTAAGTCACTGAACCAATCTATTTTACATTTTCAGAAGTTTTTGCTTTCGAGTCTGATTTAAATGAGAATACAATAAACATTAACAATGAATTCAAACGTTTCTTCGATCTTCACCTAACAGTTCCGGAGTTGTAAATTGCTAAGTTTGTTCACAATTGTATCCCACGTCTTTAAGTATTTATAAGTGTTCCATTATTCCTCTCTTACAAAAAAAGCAATCTCTCTCTCTCTCTCTCTTATCCAGACTATTATTTTTGGGGGGATTTTCTTTATTTAAGAAACAACTGTAAGGGCGATACGAGTCGTTCATTCCTACCAAAAGGAGTGGCAGATACACAAGAGCGAATCATATAAAACAGCTAGTTGACAATTGAAAATATTTGTTATAATGGGTGAGCCAGGCCGACCTGCACTAAAAACAGACTGTTAGAACGAAGACACCACACCTTACCATTAGGTGTGTACTGTTATTTGTGTTAATGAACATGGCTCGACAAAATACCTTACCATTAGATGCCTATCTATATTTGTGTTAATGAACATAGCTCGACACCATACCTTACCATTAGATATCTATCTATATTTGTGTTAATGAACATGGCTCGACAAAATACCTTACCATTAGATGCCTATCTATATTTGTGTTAATGAACATAGCTCGACACCATACCTTACCATTAGATATCTATCTATATTTGTGTTAATGAACATGGCTCGACACCATACCTTACCATTAGATGTGTACCATTATTTGTGTTAATGAACATGGCTTGACACTATGCCTTACCATTAGATGCCTATCTATATTTGTGTTAATGAACATAGCTCGACACCACACCTTACCATTAGGTGTGTACTGTTATTTGTGTTAAAGAACATGGCTTGACACTATGCCTTACCATTAGATGCCTATCTATATTTGTGTTAATGAACATAGCTCGACACCATACCTTACCATTAGATATCTATCTATATTTGTGTTAATGAACATGGCTCGACACCATACCTTACCATTAGATGTGTACCATTATTTGTGTTAATGAACATGGCTCGACACCATACCTTACCACTAGATGTGTACCGTTATTTGCGTTAATGAACATGGCTGGACACAATACCTTACCATTAGATGCCTATCTATATTTGTGTTAAGAAACATGGCTCGACACCATACTTTACCATTAGATGTGTACCGTTATTAGTGTTAATGAACATGGCTTGACACCATACCTTACCATTAGATGTGTACTTTTATATATATATAGACGTATAAAAAATCTCGTCTCGTACACTTTTGCACTAGATTAAAACCCCTTACACTCGCGCGTGTCATACTTTCAGCCATTTGTCACATATCTTCAGTTCTTCTGTGACTATAGTTGACGACAAACTCTGAACATTTCTGAGTTATCATTGTTGCCATAGTTGACGACAAACTCTGAAAATTTCAGTGTTATTATTTTTGCCATAGTTGACGACAAACTCTAAAAATATCAGTGTTATCATTTTTGCCATAGTTGACGACAAACCTGAACATTTCAATGTTATCATTATTGCCATATTTGACGACAAATCTGAACATTTTAGTGTTATCATTGTTGCCACAGTTGACGACAAATCTGAACATTTCAGTGTTATCATTGTTGCCCAAAGGTAAACTGTACTTGTAACAAAATTATTCATGCTTCTTCTTAAGACATAATTATGGTTAAGTCAACCATGCAGCCCCTAATTCGTAGGGATAATCGAGAAAATGTAAAGAACCCCTTTTTCATTATACATAATGTCATAAATATGTAAGTATGCTCGGTATATGACATTTGAATCAATGGTAATGGATGAATTGTAAGCAACTGGTTGATATGGTTCATGCCAAATTTAATCAGCAATCAGTTGCTGTTGAAGCGTCTGTTTCTCGTGTCGTTATACAGTTAATATCGACAGTGGGAGAACAAGGAAACTGCTTGATAATGAGCGCTCGTGCGCTTGTGTAGAACTGTGTATAATCTAACAGAGCATGCTGGTTGCTTCCTGCTCATGTAGAACACATAGAATCACGCGGATGAGAACATTAATATCGCATTTTTCCTTGGTTTTACCAAATCAATAGAAACATTTTTTTAAATGTAAAATGTATATTTTCGTGTGCGTATGTCAGACACATTTGTTTTTTTTTTGTTTTTTATAGAGAAAGTTATTTGATAAGGTAATTCTGTTCGAGTTAACAAAGTGTTCAATGAGCACTTTTATATAAAATATAGCTTACCATGTAGATTGGAGAATATAGGAAACAATTATCTCGCGCGTGTCTTACGTAAGTCAAGTAAACTACCGTGAGACTATTTTTGTACATCTCTCAAAACTAATTAGTGGTTTATGTAATCCTGAGCAG